GAGGGTCCATAATCACAGAGAGAATTAATGTGTTTCCCTTGTCAATGTTTGTATAAACTTTATCTAATTTGTGGTTTATAATGGACTGTGGTGCAGAAACAGTGACAGTGTTTCACATAATTAATAATATGTCATTATAATAATATGTCAATATGTGACCATTACGGCCCTGCGATGGACTGGTGACCTGTCCAGGGTGTACCCCGCCTTGTGCCCGATGTCAGCTGGGATTGGCTCCAGCCCCCCCGCGACCCTGTACGCAGGATGAGCGGTTGACAATGGATGGATGGATGGTGACCATTACATTGTTAAACTGGTAGACTAGATGGTTGCAATTTGCAACCTCACTGCTAGATGGCACACTTAACCTTTAGGTTAAAAGTTAAAAAGCGTTACAACCCATGACATTTTTCAAACCTAACCAAGTAGTTTTTGTTGCCTAAACTAACCAAAGTTTTAAAGCTCAAATGTGTCTTTTTGGGAGACATGGATAAACAACCTTTGTTGTTGTTTAGATTGGAGGACTTGTTTTTTCAACTGCATGACTGAAGTTCCATACTAATGATGCAGTCGAGATGTAGCTGAAAGCTCCAGAAAAATCACGTAAGAGGACCTTGAGTTAAGATATTTCAAATAAAAATGTTAAAAATAGTCAATTTGCAAGCACATCCTAATTGTGCTAAGTGCAGGACTTCCACTGCTGCTGAACCATGAAGTAAATGAGCCATAAAATCAAAACCAGGAGAGAAAAAGAGAAGAGAAAAAAACCTTCGTAGAGGTGAAAAGACGCTGATAATTTGTCTTTGTGACTCCTTTCACATTACATATTTGATCAGTAAAAATAATATTGATTAGTGGAGCTTTAACAGCTTAAAATATGAACCAAGCCTTGTGAGATTATTTTGTCCAGGGGTGACATGAGGATCCTCTAGAATGTGCCCGGCGGAAAATATCCCTGATGATGATGATGATGATGATGATGATGTCGACAATGACGCGTGTCCTGGCTGCAGCCAATCACAGCTCTCCTGGTGATGATGCGTGAGGGGTTCCTCTCTGCCCTGCAGCCAATCTCTCTGCAGGGAAAACCCAGCCTCTCTTTCACTGGGAAAAAAACACCGCTCCGCCGCCTCCTCCTCCTCTTCCTCCTCCTTCTCCACTCATTCCTTTCCTAAATTTTTTGTTATCTCCTAACGTCTTCTCTCTGTTACGATCTTCATTCGTCTACTTCATGTCTTCTCATCTGTCTTCACTTTCCCTCCTGTAGTGGCTGTCACTTCTTTTTTCCTCTCCTTCATTCTTTTCTTTTATCTTTATGTTTTCCCTCTTTTCATCTTCTCTTTTCCTTCCTTCCCTTTCCCCTCTTTCCTTTTCTGTCCTTTCATTTCTTCATTTCCCTCCTTTTAGACACTTTCATTTCATTTTCTTCCCTTCCCAGCCTTTCTACGATTTATTTTCTTTCCTTCACATCATTTCCTCCCCTTCCTTCCGTTCCTTTCTTTATAATTCCTGTCCTATCCTTTAACTCTCCTCTCCTATATATTGTCCCAGCCATTTCCACGGCTGCTATGAGTTATGATGTATCTGATAAGAAGGGGGTGAAGTCCTAAGGAGGAACAAAGAGACTTACATAAAAAAAGGGATTAAAGAATTCCAGTTTCCCACCAAGTTGGCAAACGACCAAACTTTACTTACCGGGAGAGAAGCTGCAGGTGTTTTTATCAATTCCTTTATTGTTTTACATTTCTGGCTTAGTTACAGTGAAGGGAAATCTTAATGCTGGAGCATACAATAAAAGCAGCTCCATACAGAAATGGTTTTCCCTGTTTGGTGAGGAAGAACTTGACTGGCCTGCACAGACCTCATCCAGCATGAACCAGATCTGATCACTGACAACAACAGTATGAAGAATCAACCCTAAAAGAAACAGGCAGCCAGTGCATGATTGCTAACACTAGGGTGCTAATGGTTACACTTTGTACAACGACTTTAAAGCTCAGAAGCGGCATTTTGGACTAATTTTAGGCAATGAATTGATTTCTGACAGAGACAGCTACATAGGACTGGCGACCTGTCCAGGGTGTACCTCGCCTTTTGCCCGATGTCAGCTGGGATTGGCTCCAGCCCCCCGTGACCCTACATGGAAAGAACCTATATGAGGATATATGCGCATATATGAAACCTATATGCAGTTTATATGCTCATATATTCTGCATATATACAGCATATATGCACATATCTGATAATATATATGCTATATATATACAGCATATATGCACATATATGCTGCATATATACAGCATATATGCACATATATGCTGCATATATACAGCATATATGCTCATATAATAATATATATGCTACATATATGCAGCATATAGGCAAAATTGAGGTGCATATACAGGCCATATAGGTCTCCGGTATTGCTTCTTTATATCCACATATAAGCCCTATATGTGGATGCAAGATATGTCTCCTATATAGCTCATGACAGGATCTGGTCATTTTGTAGCTCACATCTCACTTTGGCAACTGTCATACATGATGCCTAGCTCATATTTTCTGTTATCAAGGCAATAACTAAGAACTAAAAGAAAATTATGCAAGGACTTATGTATGTGCGAACACGTGAAATTGGTATCACATGTAATTGGCATGTTATGGAATTTAACAATTAAGTGAGAGGAGATGGAAAGCTATGATGTCTACATGTTTTCCTGAAACATTTACAAGGTCAATTCTTTCTTGTATAAAGATAGTGGAAAAGAAGGAAATGTATAACAAAATGGTTTGTTGTTTTTTTATTTTGTCAATCAAGCCTTTTTTCCCCCCAATTTCAAGTCACTTCCAGATTCACATTACAGCTCATACACATCCACACATTCACCGTTACATCCACCAAATGCAATGCAAAATGCATTTTTTTTTCTGTATTGTCTTAATGCAGTTTCTAGATAAATTTGGCTGAAAGGTCATTAGTCTAAATGTAGCAAAAAAAACAAAAGTACATAGAACATACATTCAAGTAATCATCATCATCCCACATCTATCTGAGCATTTCACTGTGGTTAATGAATTTGAAGACAATGTCAACATTTCTGTTCAGTTTTTTGTCTTATTTTTGTTCTTGTACTATTTGATTGTTCTTAAGTTAATAAATAATGTAAATTTCTACATTTTGGGCTATTATTTATGTTGCCTAATAGCTATGGATTTTTATAATTTTGCTAAATATAGGTAAACATAGGTGCATATATGTGCACTGATATAGATACATGTATGCACTGATATAGGTACACATGTAGGTACATGTATGCATGGATATAGGTACACATATATGCATATATGTTGTTGTGGTGGCAGCCCGGCTGACGGTGAGTGTCCTGTTTTTTTCTACTTTTTATCAGTTTTTCTGCTTTTTCCCTTGGTTTCCGGTTCTCTGCCCACCTCTGTGTTTTCTCCCCTGTGTGCTCTCTCTCCCTCTGCTCCTGAGCCCAGCCAACTACCTGCACCTGCAACCCATCATCCACCTCGTCAGCCTGCCACACCTGCCAGTAATCAACCTCATCCCAGCCTGTATTTCAACCCCGGTTCTCCACACCATCCTTGCTTGATCGTCACTGCTTCATACCTGGTGCCACTTCCGTGTTCAAGCTTCCATGTTTCTTGTTTTTTCACACTTACCCTGTGCCTTGTCTTTGTCTTCCCTAACCTTGCCTCTCTGTCTGTTTCCCTCCCAGGTACACTCACCCTCGTCCTCCGTTCGGCTGGGCTCGTCCACTGGCCCACTCCTCTCCGGACTTCCCTCACGGCGTCCTCCCTGTTCCCCCCACCTCTCCTCGCTTCCTCGGCCCCTGTGTTTCCCGGCTCCCTGGCCCCCTGTCTCCTTGGTTCCCCGTGCCTGTACGTCCCTCAATAAACCTCCTTCCCTCTGAGTGCAGCATTTGGGTCCTCTCTGTCCACACACCACACCCCGTAACATATGTACATATAATCTAGGAAAACGGCCAATTTTATATATGTCACATATTAAAAACCTATATTAACATGTTTATATAGGTTCTTTCCATGTGGGACTCTGTACGCAGGATAAGCGGTTGATGGATAGACAGCTATGATGGATGAGGATGAAAGCATGGATGAGTTTCTCCAGATCTGTGCTAGAAATAAAGGACTTAACCGTGGATATATTTCTCAAATGATACAAACATGGCTGAACAACTTTCTTAATGTGGGGTTCAAAACACATCCTGGTCAAAAAACTACCCCAAGATTTCTGGCTAAGGGCTTAGCATAAGTTACTAGCTTAACTAGGTTTACCATGCTTTGAGTTCTGTTAGCAGATGGTACGAATACAATGATCAGATCATTTCAATGAGATACAAATACACTGAATCAGATTTTGTAAGGTTTAATTGTAGAAAGTTGAGTGACATCCAGAATTTTATTTCGACAAGGCATTTGATGTCAGACTGGTCACCGTTTCTGATTGGGATATAGAGCTGTCATCTGTGTAACACTGAAATTGTACATTGAATTTGCAGGTATCCAGATACTAATAATTTAATTAATTTGAGATAATAGCCTCCCCACGAGGTCCATTTAGTAGCCGTTTCAACAGTCAGGGCGTAACTTTAAACAGCAACATTTCCCCCCACATAATGAACTTTGTACTTTTTTGTGTGTCCATTATTTCAGAGCATTATTATTTTAGTAAAACTCCCAACAGTTTTATTTGTTGTTGTTGTCGCCTGGAGCATTTTGCTTTTTTCTCATCCTTCAGTCTATTTGTTTGTGCCTGTTTAGTTAGTTCCTGGCTTTGTAGGAACTGGTTTACACCAAGGTGAGAGAGAGAGAATCCTACCTGTCTTGTTCGTAACAACCAAACCCTCCTTGTCATTCCCGAGACTACACCTCTCCAAACTGGGCTGCAGAGGTACCACCGCTACTAAAATACTTTCTATCCCGAAAGACATTCTTTAAGCAACCAGCAAACCACCATGGATATGTTTAAGAGGAGGTTCTTGGGTATTTCTGTGGCTGTTGCGTATGGTGTTTCCACCGGCTGTCTGAACATCGTGATGAAGCTCCTCGTCAGTAATTATCACTTTGACTTCCTGATGCTCCTCCAGCTCCTGACCAGCAGCACCACGGCGCTCATTCTCGAGATCCTCAGGCGACTGGGGAAAGTCAAGATCCCCCCATTCAGCATCCAGTTAGCCAAGGTAAAGAGTGACCAAAATAGTCTGAATTGTTTATTTGTTTGTAGTTGCAGTTTAGCCTGTTAAATCCCCAGGCAATCTTTTTTTGTAAAAATGTTACCAGCCCAGCTTATAACAACACAACGCTGAAACATAATAAAAATAAATGTATTCTGATCTGGCACTTGTCACGCAATGATCCAAAATGGTGGGCATTCACACGAAGCTTAAGCAAAGGGGTTGGGAACCAACATTGTGGATACTCCCAACCCTGGAGTCATCCAGGCAGGCTGCCTTATCAGGCTCTACGTGTAGGCTGCGTTTGTTTCCATAAAGTGAGGTCCCCAACATCTTGTTATCTTTCTTATTGTGTCTATGTTTATTGACTTCCCGTCTCAGTAGGCCTTTCTCATTTCTCATCGCCTCCTTGCCCCCTCGACTCAAGGAAGAAATGCGAGGGGAGAGAAGTCGATGCAAAGGGCATTAACAAAACGTTATTTTAAAGCGACGTCATTAAATATGATGTGTAGCACAGCTGCATCATCTGCCCATTGTTCTGTTGCAGCCTGCTACTGTGATCTCTGTCAGATGAGCAGACCAGCTGTCAGCACCAACACATAAATGCTACAGATATGTTCACAATCCAGAAACATGTCTCTCAACGTTATGACATGTAGAAACATCTTGGGGTTGCAATAAACATTACAGCATATGTTGAAAGGAGCAACAGTCACAGACTATAGTAGCTATCATGCACTACATATATCCAGAAACTTATTTTTGTCAGTGTGCCTTTTGCCTGTAAACAGGAGATAATTTCAGCTCTCAGCTTATGAGAGTGAACGGTTCATCATCAGTCCCTGTGAGAAATGACGCTGTAACATTTATCTCAAATATAGCCTACAGCCCAATTACAACTGTCGTTAGTGGACTTATTATATACTATATTCTAACTGTGTGTAACACCTCTTTAAATGTCATGGCTGCCGGAAAGACTTACACCAAGGATGGCATCAAATAGAGACATGAGAAGAGCCCAGTGTTTTTCATTCTTGGTGTTGTCCTATCGTGTGTTCGTTTCACCCGTCCTGTCAGGACCGGGGGCCAGCAACTCAAACGCAGACTAGAGAAATGCACAGAAGTGGTTTATTGAGCACAAGGGGTGTCCTGGGAGAGGTTGGGGTGAGGTGGTCGTTCTGAGGGTCTGCGGTTCTGGTCCCAGAGCTTAGATGATTCTGGGGCACAGGAGGGAATCTGCGTGGTGCATGTGCAGGTTTCCTGAGGTCGAGACAAAGAGAGAGCAGTTAACACTGGTACGAAGGTTCAGACAAAATACTGAAACTAAGACAGACAAACTGGCTTGCGAGTCCACACGGTTAAGTACAACGATCCGGCGGGGACTGGAAGGTTGGCAGATCTCTTAAAGGCGTGTTGATTGCAGGCAGAGGCCCTGGTGTGCTGATTGTGGATGTGCTTCAGGTGGGAAAGCCTGGAGCTGAGACTACCACGCCCACCAGCAGCCTCAGGGCAACAGGCAGGCCAGGGTCACGACCGGGGGTTTGTGACATGTTCCTTCTTATGTCCACCGCTCTTGTTTATTTAAGTTGTTGTTTTCACCTGGTTTAGAGGCGACTCGTCTATTGAGTATGCTGTTTGGATTCATGGTATTTGGATCACGCCTGTACTGGGTAGGATTCTGTTCGCTTCCATTTGGACCGCTTACACGTTTTTTGACTTTGCCTGCCTCTACACCACGTAAGCCTGTTACCTTGTTGTCATTATTAAATTCCCCAACAATCAACACATTTATCTGCTCTGTCTGGTGTTCTTTGGGTCCAAATCCATTTTTTTTTACCATGCCAGGCTCAGCAAAACATGACAGAACAATTATACCAATAAGAACAATTGTCCACTGGACTCATATTTAGATTGACTGTGACTTGCTGGTGCACAAAGACATGTGAAGGAATGCTGCCTTGGCTAAGGGATTCGATATCAGAGTGGGTCATAGACTTTCTTTGATTCCCCTGTACCAATCAGCTTTTCAGTCAGCTGGTAACCAACCCGCTAGTTGCCAGCCTGAATCTCGTTGAGCAAGCATCCAGGCTGCTAGCTACCAGTGTTCATCCTGGCCTGCTTACCTCCAGCTCCAGTTTCTGAGTCAGTTCCCCTTAACGTAGAGCCCTCAAAAAGATAGAGCTGGTTGTCCAGCTCTCTGGTGTCCTTTTTGTCGCTTTGGCTGCAGATAGCACCCAGACTGCCAGCACCCAGGTCTCTAGGCACCAGCCTTCACCCCAGCCTGCTAGCAACCTGCTTAGACTCCAGTCGGCTAGCTTGGTTCCAGCCAGTTTCCCGCCTTTTCCAGCCCAGGAGCCACCTTCAGAGACACCCTCCAGAAGGAGACGTGGCTCTAGCCATCTCGCAGACTCTGGTACTGATCTCCAGTCTTGTCACTAGTCTCCTGCCTAGAGTTATGATATGGGTTGCGCTGGCAGTACTTGGTGTGTTTAAGGTCAGCCTCCACAGTGACTATAAAAGAGGTGTTGGCTTCTGATCCCCAAACTTGAGACCTCTATAAATGAATGAAGTATTTGATCTTGGCTGTACACCTCCACAGTTTGTCCGGTTAGAACAACTAAGATGATGTTGGTAATCTTCCCCCCACTCCAATGACACTCTCACACTCCTTTTCTTGCAAATGGTTTATTGTAGAATGAAATCTAGTATGAGTATATGTTTATGTGTATGTGTGTGTGTGTGTGTGTGTGTTAACTGTGTGTGGTAACTTCTGAACAGTGACTAAAAGCCAATTCAATGTGTGCCTCTCTCCCTCTCTGTGCAGGAGTTTGGCCCGGTGTGTATCATCTCCACGCTGCAGTCCACTCTCACTCTGTGGTCTATGCGCGGCCTCAGCCTGCCCATGTTTGTTGTGTTCAAACGCTGCCTTCCGCTCCTCACACTTGTCATCGGCATGTGCGTGCTGAGGAATGGCATGCCGTCCAGCGGCGTGGTAATCTCCGTGATCATCACCACCGCTGGAGCTGCACTGGCTGGTAAACACACATCATCATCTACATATAGTACACACAATAATACATCAGTCTTTTTCCAGTGAGTAAGGGAGTGGCCCTGTACGGTTGACTGTATTTATTCATCTATTTAATAGTTTAACTGGGACAAATTATTTCTTGTAAACATTTTTGCTGGCTCGTGGCAGTCTGAACTGCCTTTCTGAAGAATGCTATTAAAAAAAGTTAAAATTGTGGGTACAGTGGATGGACTTTTGTAGAAAACTTGCACAAGTTTTACCTTGCATGTGACTGAATTTGCATTCATTCTTGTGGTTAGGGCCAGTAAATTCCTGGAGGCAATGTCTTTCTCTTGTTTTTACCTTTAGATATCCCATTTCACTTTTTTAGTTTGAATGTAATGTTATTATTACTTATTCCTCTCTCCTTCTCAAACTAAATTGTCAAGAATCCGATGACTAAACTTTCCATCTATCTTTAGTTTTTTAGAGCTCTCACAAGGTCCTTCTCAATTCCCTTATTTGTCGTTTCCTCACTCCTCACGATCCTTGCTTGAACTGGAAGTTGTTCCGCTCCGCCATCTCGCAGACCACCCCAAAGCTCTTATGTTCCGTTCCATTTACCTCAGATGTCAGAGGTCGGAGCTGGGAATGATGTCACACCCAAGCTGACGGCGTTCCAGTTAACAAAACGGAAAACCGCGCTCAGCCAGCCGTTGTTTTCAACTAGTCAGGTTAGCCACTGTTACACCAGTAAGCCAGCATTGCGCAGTATTTAGTCAGACTAAACACTGTAGCAACACGTCCACAGACAGCAGCTGGACAGCACTTTGTGTACGAACATTTCTATGAGATAAATACACAGAAGTGCCGACACGCCCCAAAACATCAACAGAGTTTCATACAGGAGTGAAGAGAGATAACGAATTAAACTCAAGTGTATCAATGCCAGTTTTTACATTTGATTTGTTTTATGATTCACTGTGTTCACTGTAGATTGGCACATCAAAAGGACCAAAACAACTGTATGAATTCATTAACAACAGATTTCCCTTATCTGTTTTTTCTCCCATTAACTTTTATTATGGAGACAATAAAGTCAGAGATTTAGAGTGTGTGTGTGTGTGTGTGTGTGTGTGTGTGTGTGTGTGAGTGCAAGAAACACTTTCATTTAATATAATTTCCATTCAGTCACATGAAGCTGATCATCCCTGAGTGTTTAATCCAAATACACAACAATAAAACTTCGTGAACGAGTAAGGAGTCTAACTAATCAACTCACTAAACTGCACTACAGACCCAGGCAAAGGAAAATAAAGCCTGCTCATCTTGCCGATGGCACCGACTACACCTGATGAAAGTAGCGGCCGCTTGATCACTAAAATCAGCTGATAAAAGCTGATGAGCTAAAAAAAAAAACTGATGTGACGATGTGATTTGCAAATAAAAAATATATGTAATGTTAAAGGATATCAGAGGTAAATAATGAAATAAAGAGAAAACTGAAAATTGAGTTTAAGTCTTAGATCATTTCAATTTCCTCTGAAACATTTAGCCTAAACCAAGACACCATGATCATATTCAGGGTTATTTAATAGGCCTGAATAATAGGCAAAACACAATCATAATATCAATAAACACTGATGCAGATAATCAATAAATAATATAAACACATTCTGCCAGTATAAATGATCCTGTGCATCTGAACAGGACACAGAATACCAACACTCAATAATAGAATGCAGGTTGTTCTTCATGTGCAGGTGTTTGTTAAACAGGTTACAGCCCTGCAGTGATGACTGTGAGTCTTTATTTGTATCAGCACAGCGCACATGTGTGCAGACAAACTTCATCACAAGTCTGTCCTGCTGTTAAAGCCGACTGACAGCTGACAGCAGCGATCAGCTGATCCAGCCGCGATCAGCTGCCGCCGTCATAAGAAACGGAACTCGCGTCATGTGACACTTTGGAGGAAAGGATGTCTCATTTCTCTAAAAACATATTCCCCTAGTGGGGGAAACGTGAAAGAATTGAGAAGCACCCGCAGTCTTCATCAGTAGGCTAAACTCTTCTTCCTAGTTGTTACTCCTCCCAATGACAACTCTAATCAGACAGAATCCAATCTAATCATTGCTTTTACATTTATTCATTTTTAGCTGATGCTTTTATCCAAAGCGACTTACAATTGCTAATTATGTCTCTGGAGCTGGGTTAAGTGTCTTGCTCAGGGACACATTGGTAGATGCATGTCATTTCTCCAAATGCCCCACAGCATGCACAGAGCTTTCAGAATAAGAATCACTTTTAATGGCCAGGTATGTGTGCACGTATGAGTATGACTGACCGGTCTTACATTTCTCTCAATGTATTTACACAGGACGAGCATAAACAAACAGGACAACAAGCTCAGCAAATACAGACACTTGCAACTGTGTTCAGATACATACAAACACATAAACAAACAATGTGTGTGTGTGTGGACACAAACACTTTAGTGCAATGGAGCAGAACGCAAAGGATATGTAAATGCTCTGTGTTTGTATAGTCTTTTCAACCACGTGCTTTTACGCTACATCCTCATTCACCAGTCATACACATTCATACACTGAGCCTAAGTGCTCAAACGGAAACTAACATTCATACACTGGTGGAACAGCCGCCAGGGGCAATTCGAGGTTCAGTGGCTAACGGCTAACCCGCTCTACCTCCTGAGCCACAGCCAGAATGAATATTTTTCCTGCAGGTTATATGTACATGAGGTAGATGGATATGATGTAATCAGTGTAAACAACGAATACACCAATATTGAATAAATAGTATACAGGTAAAGTAGATGTTAGTGTCACCTGTTTGTTGCTCAGGTATTGTTCCTGACACTGTGTATCTGGAGATAATTGCTCATCAGAGTGATGGCCTGTGGGTAAAAACTGTTCCTGTGCAGCGCTCTGTACAATCTACCAGAGAGGAGAAGTTAGAACAGGTTGTTTCCAGGGTGTGATGGATTTGCAGTCATGGGGGCCACGTTTGGCACCAATTATCTTTTCTACACTCCTGGCTGTCTGTTGTAGTCTGTTCTTGTCTTGTTTGGCGGCTGATCCAAACCAGAGAGTGATGGACGTTCAGCGAACAGCCTGAATAATTGATGTGTAGATGGCGCTTAGCGAACTGTTGTTCCCAACGTCCAAATACACAAGAGACTCCACAGTTACAACAAATCACAAAATTAAGGAAACCAGTCAGGCCTTCTTTTTTATGCATCCTCACATTTTTAATCTTAACTTGCTTTTCACCCCAGGTGCTGGTGATGTCACTGGCGATACCTTTGGTTACATCACTGGTGTGTTGGTGGTCATCATCCACGCCTCCTACCTGGTCCTGATCCAGAAAAGCAGTCTGGACGGCGAGTATGGACCGCTCACAGCACAATATGCCATTGCTGTCATAGCCTCACCTGTAAGGACTGATGTTCAAAGAACAATGCATGGGTTTTTGTTTCTCCTCCTTTTCTTTACCTCCTCTCTCCTTGTCCATTTATTTTGTCTCTAATTTTCTTACTAACCTTTTCTCTGTGTGACTCTCTCTCTTTGCCACTCTTTCAGGCGCTTCTGGTATGCTCTGTCATCTCCAAGGACATCATCAGCATGTGGTCTTACGAGGGCTGGAAGGACCCCCACGTACCAGCCTTTTTTGTCTTATGCATTTTATTCACCATCACCATGAACTTCACCACGCTGCAGTGCACTTACATCAACTCCGCTGTCACCACCAGCTTCGTGAGCATGCTCAAGAGCATCGCCACCATTACTATCGGCATGGTGGCATTCAGTGAAGTTGCACCGACAGGGCTGTTCATCGGAGGCGTAGTGGTCAACACTGTTGGCTCTATTATCTATTGCATCATCAAATACTTTGAGACGAAGAAGAAGAGAATGCATAAGGACCTGGAGGAGGCTGGGAAGGATGGTGCGTTTCCTTGCGAGCCTTACCAAGAGAAACGACCACTAAATGGCATCGGGCCTGCTGCTGGCATCAGGTCTTGTCCAGGAAATCCGAAGTTAAAAGGAGCACTGAGCAGTGACAGGATGGTGGATGCAGCATCAGCTGGCTTGGCTGAAGGAAAGTTGTGGACAGGGAATGGTGGAAAAGGAGACGGAGAAGCAGGTGTGAATTCCTGCGTCATGATGGAAAAGGAGATGCATGAGATGCAGAGAGAGCACCTCCAAAGCCTGAACACCACATCCAGTCAGTCGGTTATTGACAGCTATGTTGGGGTGTGGAGGTCCATCAGACATCTGCAATTAATGAAGAATGAATCTTTGATTCAGAAGCTGTAAATTAAAACCTTTAATGCAGTGGAAGTGGATCAGATAAAGTCTATCCACGTACTGGCCACCAAATGATAACCAATCTACATATATGGTCTCACTGGGTTTGTTTATTTGAGTCTGATAATTAGTTTGATTGATTGATTTTCTCTAACCCTACAGGTCCACTTGTTCACAGTTGGTTGTCTTCTGCATACATCAGAGCGGTATATTGTCGTTCTTGTATCCTTCAAAACACTGCAGTGGTACCACAAATAAAGTTATCTTGAAATAGAGAGTGGCACATAGCCCAAACTAGGAGCGACAGGGGCATGCCACAGGGATATTTCCATTTACGGCAGCAAAATGCACTGTTTCTCATGCTATTTGAGATAATAGAATGCCTAAAAATCTGTACATCACTTGGAAAAAACGTCCCTGGGGAATGAAGACCCGCCTACTTCCTGGTTTCTGGGGTGCTGACATCAGTCCCGCCCATTGGTTCCCTCTGTTTCCACTCAACCAATGGCTCGTCACCACATTAATTACCTCCGTCCACCTGTTGCTCCAGGCAGCTTGTCACCGCCTGTTGACTTGTGTGCCGCTGGTATTGACTGCATAGCCTGCCTGATAGTTGTACTTTGTGTTTAGTGGAACTATCCACCTTCCTTGCTTATTAGCTGTACATTGTGTTTAGGGAAACATTTGCATACCTTTGTATGTTAGCTCCACTTTGGGTGCAGTGGAGAAATTCCTTATTGTTTTGTTTACTATTGTGTTAGTTTTGGGTGCTGTGCTCTTTGTGTTCTTTTGTAGCAAGAATCAACTCTGCTTAAATCGATAGATAGGTACAGGCCTCTTTTTATTTTAACTTGGTTTGTTATTTTCGCAGCACCCTCGTCCACCCTGCTTTTGTTTATTGTTACCTGTCTACATCTCTGTTACCAATAAAAGTTACCTTGTTAAGATCTGTAAGTTGTGCCTATATGTTTATGGCCCCCCACTCCCCTAGACCAACAGGGGGTCGTAACACACTGGAGTAGAGTTCTCAAAATAACTGTTAGTTGACAAATCTGCTGCATTTGAAAACATGCCATAATAATCTGGGCTGCTCTAATAACAACAGTGCCATGTAAATGTGGTCTTCAATACTCTGTACTGAATATTAGACTTGGCTTGTAATTTATTTCTGATATTAATAGTTATGGTCTCATTTGTGTTATAATATTATTACTAAACCTGGATAGTTTTGTTCAAAGTGCTGCATTAAATATGGATGTATTGTGCAAAAATATTTTGTCTGACAGTGTTCATCTGCCTACCACAGACACATAAGAGGAGGTGGTATAATTATTGAGATTTTTTAAATAAAAGGTGAAACTTACAGATGAGGAGAGGTGAGGTGGGCCGGTCAAAATCAGAATACTGTTATCCAAAAAAGATAAGTCCATAAGTCCAAAAGCAAAGCAAGATAAATCCAGAAACGAACAGTAATAATCCACACAGCCAAAACAAAAAGCTTGAGACATTAAACACTGGTATGACACGACACAGGTAGCAACGAACGGGAGAAGAGAGACACAGAGGTGAACAATGAACACATAAATAGACACTAGTGAGACAGAGACTTAAATACTTAAAGGGGATGGAAATAACGAGACACAGGTGAAACACATTCAGGCAGGTGCAAACAAGCAACCCTGAAACACAAGGACAGGACCAATTACAGTAAAGTAAAACAGGAAAAAGATAAAACACCAACAGAACCGTGACACACAATCACAAATGTACGTTTTTGGTGTAGTTTAGTACGAGAGCCACTGTGGGCTCGTGGTTTTAAACTTAATGATTGATATTTTTTAAATTATTTATATTATTATATTTATGTGACATTTCATATGAGTTGCAATGTGACATGATTGGAGAATGATTAAAATAATTAAACTAGACTTTTACTTTTATTACTTTAGTATGCAGTATGAAGAGGAAACATTCTGTTACTTATATTTTCCTACTGTACAACAACAGCATGTGAAAGAGTCCAACAGCGAGCAGTTCGATGTCTAGGCAACAGATACGTTGCTTACCTTAATGTGACCAGGACTACACCATCTGTTGTTAACTAGAATGGCAAGACCCCCGCCTTTGCTGCTTCCCACTCGTGGCGCAATCCCTGTCGGCACGAACAGTCTGAAAGCCATCGATGGAAGTTCGGTCAGGTATATCCTGGTGTAGCCAAGTGAAGCACATTAAACTACACTCCGGGAACTCCCTCCGACTCCAGGCTAACGCTGTTAGTCATTTAGCAGTAACCTCGCATTGCCCATTATGCAATATTATGTAGCTGCAGTACCCGAGGCTGCAGTTTCAACCCCCCCGCAATCCTGGGACCGTAGTTCTTTTGCAACAGCACCATCTAGTGGAGTGGTGGTGGTAATGCATAGCAACACGAAGGAGGTTAACCCTGTTTGAGGCCGATGTGCGCAGCTGTAGGATTAACCGGTCGACATGCATATAATCAATAACTTAAGTTTAGGCACACACTCGGTGATGGTTGTGGTAAGGGTAATTGGCTTCGGGGGGCTGGCAAGAGTAACATAGCCAGCTAGCTGGCAGTATCAAAGTAAACAAGGGTCCTAGAAATGCAGTTCCGGTCCTAGGGTTGCGGTCCTGAAACTGCAACCCTCCGGTACTGTAGCTACATACTACTCCCATGATGAGAGAGGGGAGACACGGCTTAAATCTCCTTTTCTTAAGTCTCTGTTGTCTGGACCCCTCTCTCTTCTCTCGCCGCTTCATTCCTGCTTTGCATCCTGTGTGTGTCCTCTTTCAGATCTCAGCAGGGATATCCACTGTCCTGTGTGACCTGTGGACTACGAAGGGAGTTAACTCAGGGTTATCAGCAAACTCAGGGTTGAATGGTTAAACGGTACTATGACGATTGATAAAGTGGATAAAAGGGACTTGTTTGAGTATTTCTCACAAGGACGCATGCTCCGTATTTCCCCCAGAAGAATGCATACTGATTGTGTCAGGATATGAGGCCTTTAAAAACATGTTAATGGCTAAATCTAATACTGTGGCGGCCAACAAAGCCAGGGAGGCTTGTTGGCATCGCATTGAGTAAATTTGTAATTGTCTTCACAGTGTTCTTATTGTAGGCTAATTCTCTATTAAGCATTTTATTCTTCTTTTATGTATAGCCCAATATGATGTAAAGGTGCAACTGCACATTATGTTCATTGTAATAAAAAAATTGGAGCCAGGGCTGAGGGGGAAAGAATTTTCAAGATTAATGTGGTAGATTTACGAGAAACTAATAACCACAAATCTACAAGTTAAAGACTGGAATATATTCCGTGATATTGCATTTATAAATTTATGAGAGAAAGTCTGTGGGGTTTTTTTTACAAGGAAACACATCGCTTTGCAAGGCTGCAACATCGCACACATGTCTGCCGTGTATTATGCATGCAGTGAATAATTACAGGCCCATACTTCACAATCGGATTTAGCAGTGAAGAAATGGGTGAGTTTAGCCCATAATCACTGTACTGTCATACACTTTAGAGATTTTGCCGTGAATTGGGTGTCAGTCTTTCAGAAGAAAACACCAGAGTGATTTGGATTTTTTGTGACTTTCATTTCAGGGAATTTTCTGTTTTTGTTCTTGTTGTCTAAATTTGCCACTTTCATCTTGGACTTTTTATCTCGGTTTAGGCTAGGCCTATTAACCCCCAGCCTGGCTCCGTATGTAAAATAGCCAATCTAAATATGTGAAAACATTTAAGATAATTCAGTTAGCACATACAGATGGGCTACATCTGAGAAAATGTCCCGTTTATTAATAGAGATCTCCTACCTAAAATCACCAAGGCTGCAGGGCTCGCTGTCTGAACATAATGTTATTGTGTTAAGAACAACTTCATTTCAGCTACAACCTCAGTGGAACAAGTCAGGATGAAATCTTAAAATATTTTATCAAGTGGTAGCTTATGTATTAATAGCCTCCTACTCATCATTAAGACTGAGTACAGATGCGGTGTGTAGTCCTCGCACAGCAGTTGTAAACAAGGACTAGGAGAAGAAATTCAGTCTCATTATTATCTACAGGATCATAGTTATATTGGTGATATTAGCTTTGAAATTTAGATTTTTTACTAGGTGAGGATGAAAATCTGTATCTTTTTCTTTATTGCATCATTCTTGAAGGGTAACAGAAATATGTTTACTTACAATGGATTAATATTTCTTAGGTGACCTATCAAAGGAGACCAGAAATATGCACATAAGCCGTGTTCATTTTGGTTAGGTTATTAGGCTTTTTTATTTCCTGTAGGGAACAAAGAATCTTCCTCATCATGTTCTGTCTTGATGAGCACTTGCACTGTGTGTTCTGAGCTGCTTCTATATGCTGATGTGCTTTTGCAGAATCTGTTGATCATATAATCTTGCTTCTGTTCATTTTCTGATTTAATTCATCCTTGAAAATATTTTGGTAAGATATGAATCCTTCATCTGTCACGCCAATAAAACCCATTTGAATTGAACTACATTGAACTATGAGAAGAGAGAGATTGGTACAGTGAGGTAAAGACAACTAGTCTCATCCTGGAGTCTATTTGCATTTGTGTCTGTTTAGTCACTTCCTGGCTTTGTACAAAATGGTTTGCACCAAGGTGAGAAAAAGACAGAGAGAGTCCTTCCTTTCCTGTAGCTAAAAACCACCCAAACCTCCCCAATCCACTGGTATTAACAATAATTTCAGTCCAGTCTTGAAAGTAACCAGCAAACAACCATGGATGTGTTTAATAGCCAGTTGTTGGGGATTTCTGTGGCAATTGAGCACAGCGTTTTCCAGCTCTCTGAACATCTCCTTATCAGTAAATTATCACTTCAAATTCCTGATGCTCCCGACCAGCAGCACCACGGCGCTCATTCTCAAGATCCTCAGACAACTGGGGAAGGTCATGATACCCCCATTCAGGTAAAAAGTGACCAAAATAGTCTTAAATGTTCATGCTGTGATGCCCAAACAGTGATCCAGAGACATCCCGGGGTGTTTATAGTTGCGGTGTTGCCTGTTAAATCCCCAGGCAATCTTTTTACTTTGTAAAATGCACCAGCACAACTTATCGGAATGATCCAAAATGCTGACAGGCCTGTGAAGCTTAAGCAAAGGGGTTAAGAACCAAAATGGTTGATACACTCTACCTGTCCTCCCCAAGATGGCGTGGAGCACAGCCACAGTCTAGGCTACACGCTGTGGGTTTCTGAAGTGTACGTGTGCAGGTGTGTTGGTACGAGAAAAAGCATACAGAGCAAGATATTTTAAGGTCCTGGTTCCGCAGCTAGATACGATGTAGCCGTGGTACTGGATTTTGGTCTGGATAAAGTATAGCTTTTGACTCTGCACACAGCAGCAGAAACAAACACAATAATTACGACTTTATCACACAGGAACCAGCAGTGAACTTGCATTCGGTGGCCGCGTTACTGGATTTTGGTCAAGATAAAGTGCCGTTTTTGGCTTCACACACAGTTTTAGGAATAACACAACAGCCCAGCAACGTGGTACTGCTACAAAATGCATCAATTCATTTAGTTAATCCTGCAGAGTCCTTAACAGCTTGGATTCTGACAATTGCCGGGTCGCTGCACTGTCGGCGGGGTCACAGCACAGCTGATTCTCAGGAGTTATACATTTTGAGTAGGTTATTTAATTTTCCTCCCTGTAGGTAAGGCTATGGTTAAAGAGGCTAAACAAAAAAACTTCCTCCTCATGTTCCATGTCGACGAGCACCGATTTCACGAGTGTTCTGAGCTGATTCTACGTGCTAATATGCTTTTGCAGAATCTGTTGATTATTTAATCTTGTTTCTGTTCATTTTCTGATTCATTTCATCCCTGGAAAGGTTCCGGTAAGATGTGAATCCTTTATCTGTCACGCCAATAAAGCATATTTGAACTGAAGTGAATTAAACTGTGAGAAAAGAGAGAGGGGGTACAGTGAGGTAAAGACAGCTAGTTAACAGAAGAAGAGCCCTATTTCCCTGCTAATGCAAAACCACAACTGGACCAAGGTGGTCTGATATTTTGGTGTGGACCAGACATTCGTGGTCCCCAGAGGATGAACCCTGTAGATTTTGGTGATCCTCTGATTTTACCAGTAGCACCAGCAAGAGGCTGACATTTGTAGTTTTGAGTAAAATGTCCTGACAGATATTTATGGTCTTTATGAACTTTGGTGATCCCTTAACTTTTCTATAGAGCAGGTCAACATTTCAATGTATCAGATGCTTTGGTTGATCTATTTTTTTAAATTTTTGTTTACAATGAGCATTTCATAGAGTGACTGTAAACTCTCTTCTTCTTTGTATTTACTGTAGATTGACATGCATCAAATTACAATTTTTTATGTGATTAACACAGCATCCATAACTCACCAATAACATTCACTATGCAGAGTGTAAACGTCCTTATTGATGCTGTGTTTGAGGAGTCTTTCCTACACTAACTTGTAAAAGTTGGGGCCAGGAACAAATTTAAGATCCTGGTTCGGTTCCTATGTTCCTGAAAAGGTTCCTAGAAAAGATATTCTTGCGATTTCTTTGGAAAATACATTGATGGTGATGACTGGTATGAGCATGAGGTTGATTGATATAATCAAATACCCCCCGCCCCCTCTCTCTCTGTCTCCCTCTCTCTCTCTCGGGTACACAGCCAAGAGGCTCTGCGGCAAAATGTCATATTTCACTGGCAGCGCTCTCAGAGGACGACCTCCCCTCTACTGTATGCCTCCTGTACATCTGCTGCGCTTCTACTGTACTCTACTGCAGCTTCTATTCCCAAATAATCTCTTCCTTTTTTCTCTTCCTTTGCGTCTCTCTTAATCACCGGAGGTCGTTTTTGTTTCTTTTTTGGACCAGAAGCACAAAGAAAAAGTCCCTGATGAAGACTTCTGCTGTTAATAATGAGTGAGTGGAAACTTATTCACGACGTGACTTTTGAATATTTTTACTATATGCAGCTGATAAAGAGCGCTGAACTGAACTGTCACCTTAACTAGGAAGAAAAGACCGAAGAGGCATTCAGCAGAGCCGAACAGAGGATCTCCTCCCGGTCCGCATTCCCTCTTTTTTCTCTCTCAGAGCTCACTTTTAGTTTTTTTTACTAAAAGCTCCTGAATGCTGATTCGTTTCCCTTCAGTGACGGTACAAACGTGGGCTTTTTACAGCCTCACGCCCTTCCTTTCCCCCCGTTTCTCCGTCCTGCAGCAGTGCGTCGCCGCTGTGCGTAAAACCCAAACTCAGCCCCTGATCTCCGAGACTAAACCTCCCGACACCGGGCTGTAAAAAGGGACCCCCGGCACTAACAGTACTTTGTACCCCGTTTGACTTTTTTTCAAGGCGAACAGCAAACCACCATGGATGTGTTTAAAAGTCGGTTGTTGGGGATTTCCGTGGCCGTTGCGCACGGCGTTTTCTCCGGCTCTCTGAACATCTTGCTGAAGTTCCTCATCAGTACTTATCACTTCAACTTCCTGACGCTCATCCAGCTCCTGACCAGCAGCACCGCGGCGATCACTCTCGAGATCCTCAGGCGGCTGGGGAAGGTCAAGATCCCGCCGTTCAGCATCGAACTATCCAAGGTAAAAAGTGACAAAAGCAGTCTGTGATTCCCAAACAGAGATCCCGAGACTTCCCGGGGTGCATTTTAGATGCAGTGTAGCCTGTTCAAACCCAGGGGATGTTTTTACTTTGTAAAATGTACAAGCCCGACTAACAAGGCTGAAAACATTTAAAGCACAATTATTACAAGTCTCTTACTCTTACTATCAATATAATGTAGTTTAATATTATGATCATAAACTTACATTTGGTTTAAATGCCTAAACAAGCTATGACTGTTTGTATTTTCCAGTTGATGATTGGCTGATTGACTGACTGACCAGATAACTGACAGGCTGACAGATTGGCTGAGTAGCTGATTGACAGGATACGATTCATTAACTTTTTGGGCAGGACTGTTTATCAAAATCACTGCAGCCAAAACACACATATTAGAAGCTGTAGAAGGCTGCCATGTGTATGCAGCAAGGAATGGAGGAAAAGGAAGTGCCTTGCATTAGTGTTTTCCAGGGTGGGGGGATGTTTGGATGGTGAAATATCTGTGTTAACCAACTGGGGGACCAAAGTTTTTAGCCATTTCTAAGTCTCATCTGCTACTTCATGATCTGAATGAGGGCACGGGGTTAAGTCTGGAGTGCTGAGGTCACAGAACTACTTGTTCCTGTGAGTTTTCACAGTCTGGACGAGTGTTTGAGAGCTGCCGAAATAAAGGCTGGGAATCAGTTCTAACATTAGCAAGCTAGGTTAACTAGCTTCCAGCTCGAAGGGTCCTCACAAATGAAATGTTGAATATCGTAAAGAAACAGCTTAAATCATTGCTATGTGGACAAGTTAAAAAAAGATAAAACAGTCCCATATCAATGTCTGTAGGTTATACGGTGTAACATTCTCTAGAGCACCACGAAAGCTGACAGCGCGTCCTCTGTCGCAACGCCGGCTCTTAAAGTCACCCTGTTGAGTTTCTGACCACTAGTAGCGCTATTGAGCAATGTTTTTAGAGTGGATCCCCATTTTGTTTGAATCATGCACTCTGGTTCAGCAATATATATTTCTGTCGTTGGCTTCATGCCATTCTGCTGATCAACGGATCCAAAAAGGACTTTTATTACTGCCAAGATAATTACTCTTCAACTTATAATATGAGTACAAATACATGTTAGTGTAGTTACGCACACACGTGTTATGTCTGGATACCAATATCATGGAACCTTTCATTTCAGTCAGGAGTTTTGAAGAAAGGATGGTGGTACTTTTACTCCAAACAATGAAACATGCAGTGTAACGTAACATCATGGCTGCTCTCCATATCACACTCAAAGACTGGAAGAAAAAGATTCATCTTAAACTATTAAAAGTTACTCGAAGAATAAACCAACTAAAGATGTATTATTCTGTAATCTATATATCTGTAGGTTTAGTGTTGGCACATAATAGTAAAATTCACATATGTATGTGATGTGAACCTCATCCGCAGGCACCCCAACAGCATTTTCTTGACCTGACCAGCATGCTAGGTTGGCATTAAGTTCATCTGAGGCACACAGGAATTCAGTTATTAGTTTTAGAGCCGCAGTATCCTGTCATGAACTGAAGTGATGGATAAGCAGAAAGTTTGACCTGCTGGTGGTGCCAGATGAAAAATCAGGTGATCGCCAAAGTCACCAGGATTCATCTTCAGGGGACCCCGGTTCTCTGAACAAAATTCCATGGCGGCATTTGTTGAGATGTTTCCCTCTGGACCAGAAAGGTAAACTGACAGAACGATGTTTCCATCCAGGATAGGAGCTGCTGCCATGGCTAACAATTAAACCCCAACCGTTAAAACGATGGCTACTATTACTGCTGCATCCTAAATATGGTCAACAACAGGAACAGGACTGATGTAGGACCAGGACTGATGTAGGAACAGGACTGATGTAGGACCAGGAGGGATGTAGGACCAGGCCTGATGTAGGACAGGATCGATGTAGGACCAGGCCTGATGTAGGACCAGGCCTGATGTAGGACCAGGACCAATGTAGCACCAGGAGGGATGTAGGACAGGTTTGATGTAGGACCAGGATTGATCTAGGACCAGGACTGATGTAGGACCAGGACTGATGTAGGACAGGACCGATGTAGGACAGTATTGATGTAGGACCATGACTGATGTAGGACCAGGACTGATGTAGGACCAGGACCGATGTAGTGGATAAGACACATGCCTTTGATGTGAGAGACCCGGGTTCAAATCCACTGTGAGACACCAATGTGTCTCTGAGCAAGACCCTTAACCCCTAGTTGCTCCAGAGGCGTGCGACCTCTAATGTATATAGCAATTATAAGTCGCTTTGGATAAAAGCAAATAAAAAAACAGGACCAGGACTGATGAGGTGAAAGAGGCAGATCAACCTCACATAGAACGTCTTCAGCTGAATTAATTTGTTTGGGGACCCAGGGACTAAAACTGTTGGACACCTGTTTATGTAGTAAAATGTGTACTAACTAATATTATAACTACAATAATCAATGTGTTACAACTACATTTTGACACAAGGCCACAGGATTAGGTAGTAACGCAGGACCCAGTTTATAATGTACTTCAGTGTTGCAAGCTCCCAAACAAATTTGTTAGTAATTAAAGCACCTGCCACACAGTGACCTCTGGCTTTTGGGGCCCAGTTACCAAAAATATATAATATAGCCTTTCCTGGAAGACAAATCCTATCCCACTTTGGTGATCTCCTGACTTTGTTTTTATTTTTATCAAGCACCATTTTTCACTTATCCAAGGAAATATCTCAACATGAACAGGATGGATTGGCACAAACGATGAATCCTAAAGACTGGTGATTCCCTGACATTTCCTTTAGCGACACCATGAGGTTGACCTTTGATTGAAATGTCTAAACAACTATTGCCATGAAACAAAGAAAAGTGGCTCGGTTTGTGCTTTAGGTTAGGGGAAGGTTGGGGTTATGATATGGGTTGCGCTGGCAGGAGTAGTTGTGGTTAAGGTCAGCCTCCAGGGAGTGAATGTAAACTAATTCAATGTGTGCCTCCCTCCCTCTCTGTGCAGGAGTTTGGCCCGGTTTGTATCCTCTCCACGCTGCAGTCCACTCTCACTCTGTGGTCTCTACGTGGCCTCAGCCTGCCCATGTATGTCGTGTTCAAACGCTGCCTGCCGCTCTTCACGCTTAGCATCGGCGTGTGTGTGCTGAGGAACGGCGTGCCTTCCATCGGCGTGGTGATTGCCGTGATCATCACCACTGCTGGAGCTGCACTGGCTGGTAAACACACATTATTCTTTTCTTCCCAATGTTCTGCATCCCCCCAAAAACAATGTATGGCTTTCCCCAAATTTGCATTAAAATTTGTGACCATTTTTTGTGCTGCACCAGTTCAGTTTTTAAGAAGATAATCAAAATCATTGCAGGAGAAACAGAGATTTGTCACATTTCTTCCATTCACATTTCTTCCTTATCCAAACCTGCTGCCTCCATTACCCACAATGCAACTTTGCTAGGATATTTATGTCTAAGATTTGGATGTGTTTTGTTAGTAGCAGCAAATGTAGCCTAGAGGAGAGGTCTGGTGAGCTCACTCCTTTTTAACTCTCTACTCAGATTTGTTTCATTTTCAAACTTGTAGTCTTCAGCCCCAACTGAAGCTGACTCAAGTGACATTACTTATTTAATATACTTCTCCCTCTGGGTAGAGGTGCCATGATGCATGATGACACCTGGAAACACCTCTAAAACGTGTAAAATCTTTGAGTAAAGGTAAGTTTAGGATGTCATGAATGCAGTTAGCTAGCGAGGAAATTACACTAGCAATAACCACAGCAGAAATCAGCTGTGAACACATACATTGAAATGATAAACTCGTTAATAAAGAGCTGCCTGTTTACACCCCCAGCAGACGTGAAGCAACACTAGCATTGATTTGGAGTCGCGTTTGTGTCCATGTTATAAAAGTCCCATATCCATTTTCCTTTTAGCTCTGGTTTGGCCTCCAACTGAGAAATATATCTGGTTCTGTAGCTGCCATCACTATGCCAGTCGCTAACTTTGTTGGTTAACTGCTGTTTGGTGCTGCAGGCAGTGAAAAGTTTGGTTTCTAAAAGTTATTTCCTGCTATTACATAAAGGGCAAATTCTGCAAACATAAGACAAATGTGTAAATTAAGGGAGGGATGGGGTAAGGGACTGGCTCCATCCCTACAAATTATTTCTTGTAGACATTTCTGGTGGCTCATTGCCGTCTAAAGCGCCTTTTGAGGGAAGCCATTTAAAATCTGGGTACAGTGTTTACTTTCTTAATTTGAATTTACTCTTACTTTACTTACTCCCTGTCTGTTTCTCAAACTAAATTGGACACAACTCTCCATCTGTCAGTGGTAAAGAAGTTCAGCGGTCTACTATAGTTTTAAGAGCTCTCACAGTCATCGACAGGCTGAACTTTTTCTTCTGTGGTTACTACTTCTCCTCCCACTCTTCCTCTCCTGATAATAATTCCTTAATTTTTAACCTATAACAGCATTTTGTTTTTTCTTTAAAAGTCCCAGCCAAACAACTTTTCCTCATAAGTGAAGTCCTGTAAAGATCCTTTAATCGTCTTTCCCGGCAGTAAATTGTCCATTACTGTTAATGTTCCTGAACTCATAAACAAAAAACCTAAATATAATTAATTTCCTGGATCAATCTCCACTGCTGCTGCTGCTCTCAGTGTTTCTCAGGCAGGAGGGGGGTCGAAACATGAAATGTGAAATCTAATGGGCTGATTCATCATTCTGGGATTAATCTTGGTGATAATCGCCTTTTCTCTGAAATACTCAATATTTGCATCTTCCAGATGTCTTTCATGGATTAATCAAGTGAAATAATGTAATTTTGTCAACATTTTAGATGCATGTTGCTGAAAAAGTGGATCATAAGTAAATATTGTTTTAAGGCACTGGGGAAATAAACGATTTCTTGGAGACTGAGATCGTGAATAGCGGATTTAAATAGATGATGTTCAAGTACAGACAGGTTTGTAATAAATGCTGCAGTTTTTGTGTCTGTTACATTCAAGCCAGAGAAGTTAAGACAATGCTGATTAAGCCTCTTACCACCAGGTAAATCTCTCTGTATTCGCAGGATACCGGAGTGTCTGTGGCGACATTCCCACGCTGTTGAGTGATGTGTTTTATACCAACCAGTAATGGGTTTTTTGCCAGAGCTGAAGGGGGGAGCAACCGTAGTGACAGCAGCAACTCAGTTTGGCAGAGCCTTACGTCATAAGCATATGTGGCACAGTGTGGTGTAATTACTCACTCTTGTTTTTCTAGTTTCTTGTTTTCTTCACTCTTGTTTCTTTCTGTCAACAAATCCCATGTGCAGATCATCATCATCATCTTCCAATACTTCCCTACTGTGTCTGTGGCCCTCAACCCCAATACCATTGGTTCCTGCTGAGGACGCGAGCCTTTAAAAATATATATGTATAGTTTTATGTTTTAAATAGCTAAACAAATTCTTGAAACAGCTGCTCGCTGTAGTTTCTATCAAACAAACAGGAGGAAATAGTGCATTTCAGCGGCCAATGAATCCACATGTGGTGCTGTAGTGAGTATTTGGAGCAGCAGGAAGGAAGGAATGTGGGAATTTTCCATTTCTAACAGAAGTTTTTTCTTACTTTGGAAAGAAATTGTCTCTTTGTCTGGTTGCTGCATAATGACAAATGTTTCTTTGTGGGAATTATCATAGTAGTAAATACTGACTGACACTGCTCTTTTATTGAAAGCATGAGCCAGTCATATGCCTGTACTCATTTGATGATATTTATCGTATGACTGATCTGGTCTGCGTCGTTCATGTGTAGGAAGTTATTTAAATGACTGATTCTGATTGATTCTATGCAGCATTTTGATCAGACATGACTGAACATGTTTTATTTTTACTGCCTCTGGAAAGTTGTGGTGCCTCAACTAACTAAATGTAGATTCAGAGGCTTTTCTACCCAGAAAATAATGCTATAATATGCATTTTATTTTATAAGCCATAACACGTTTTATGATAGGCCTACATTCAGAATGTTTCATATTGATAGGTTTAATCTATATATGAGCGCAGAACTGATCCAGGATTCTCAGAGACAGATTTGGGCTTGAGTGTTGTGTGTTTTTGATGGGAGTAGAGGCGTGTGAACTGTTTTTTGTCACTCTCAATTTAAATGTAAGTTTCTAGCTTAGACATAATCCCAGCACATAATTCGTTCACTATCTTTCTCTCCTGCTCCATTTTCTGACCGAATTCATCATCTCTCCTGATTCCTCGTCTTTCCCACCTAAAAACTCCCACAGCCTTCCTGTCTGCGTTTCCTCTTATTTTATTTACTGTTTTTGAAAATACATTACCATTAAAGCATAAATCTAATATCTGTTTCTTGTCCATGTATGTTTTTGTACATTCCTTTCAAATCTTATTTAAGAACGAATTACATTTTATTTACATTGTCTTTATTGTCATCCACTTGGATCATCAGCTCATGAAGATGCTGACTTTTTTCCAGGGACACGTTCATTTAGCTTCAGTCTTTTAGCATGAATATAGCCATCAACTGCATATTTTTTATTATGTTTAGTTCTTGTTTTCAAACAAATCAGCTCAGAGAGTCCAGATTCCAAAATGATAGCTCATCCGTCATTATCATTGCTATAATATTTCACAAAAGTGAGTACACCCCTCACATTTTTGTAAATATTTGATTATATCTTTTCATGTGACTTTGCTCCAATGTAAAGTAGTGAGTGTTCAGCTTGTATAACAGTGTAAATTTGCTGTCCCCTCAAAATAACACATCACACAGCCGTTAATGTCTAAACTGCTGGCAACAAAAGTGAGTACACCCCTAAGTGAAAATGTCAACATTGGGCCCAATTAGCCATTTTCCCTCCCCGGTGTCATGTGACTCGTTAGTGTTACAAGGTCTCAGGTGTGAATGGGGAGCAGGTGTGTTAAATTTGGTGTTATTGCTCTCACACTCCCTCATACTGCTCACTGGAAGTTCAACATGGCACCTCATGGAAAAGAACTCTCTGAGGATCTGAAAAAAATAATGGTTGCTCTACATAAAGATGGCCGAGGCTATAAAAGACCGCCAAGACCCTGAAACTGAGCTGCTGCACGGTGGCAAAGACCAGACAGCGGCTCAACAGGACAGGTTCCACTCAGAACAGGCCTCGCCGTGGTCGACCAAAGAATGGTTAATGGGAAGATTGATAGCAAAGCTAATAGCAACAGTAATTTATTAATTAATAAACAAGGGGTTCTGGGCTTAGCCAAGTTAGCCAACTTGTTCCCAAGTTCCAAATCATGAGAGACTCCACAGCTACAACAAATCACACAGAGAAACCAGTCAGGCCTTTTTCTTTTTTTTTTGCATCATCACGATTTTTATCTCGACTTGCTTTTCACCCCAGGCGCTGGTGATCTCACCGGCGATCCATTTGGATACATCACTGGTGTGTTGGCGGTCATCATCCACGCCTCCTACCTGGTCCTGATCCAGAAAACCAGTCTGGACAGCGAGTATGGACCACTCACAGCGCAGTACGCCATTGCTGTGATGGCCTCCCCGGTAAGAACTGACGATTAAGGCACACTGCAAGGGTTTTGTTTCTCCTCGTTTTCCTTTCTTTCTCTACCTCCTCTCTCCTTGTCCATTTGTTTTGTCTCTCCTTTTCTTACTAACTTTTTTCTCTGTGTGACTCTTTGTGTCTTCGCTCTTTCAGGTGCTTCTGGTATGCTCCTTTATCTCCTTGGACACCATCAACATGTGGTCATACGAGGGCTGGAAGGACCCACACATCACGGTCATCTTCGTCTTCTGTGTCTTTATCGGCTGTGCCATGAACTTCACCACGCTGCACTGCACCTACATCAACTCCGCTGTCACCACCAGCTTCGTTGGCGTGGTCAAGAGCATCGCCACCATCACTGTCGGCATGTTGGCATTCAGCGATGTTGCGCCGACGAATCTGTTCATCGGAGGTGTGGTGGTCAACACAGTCGGCTCCATCACCTACTGTGTGGTCAAATACTTTGAGGCGAAGAAAAAGAGCTTGTACGAGGACCTGGAGGAGGCTGGGAAGGATGGTGCGTTACCTGGCGAGCCTTACCAAGAGAAACCATCCCTGAACGGCGACGGGCCCGCTGCTGGCACCGGGTCTGATCCAGGAAATCCGGAGATAGAGGGAGTATTGAGCAGTGACAGGATGGAGGAGGCAGCTCCAGCTGACTTAGCTAACGGAGAGTTGTGGACAGGGAATGGTGGAAAAGGAGACGGAGAAGCAGGTGTGAATTCCCACATCATGACGGAAAAGGAGATGCTGGAGATGCAGAGGGAGCACCTCCAAAGGGAGAACACCAGTTCCAGTCAGTCGGCTAGTGACAGCTATGTTGGAGTGTGGAGGTCCATCAGACATCTGCAGTTTATGAAGAAAGAACCTTTGATTGATAACATGGAGCAGCAGAGTCCATAAGGACAGGACAGAGACCTGGACAGACTCTAGAAAAGAAAACTGGGAATGAATTAGAGGATAAAAAAAAAAGTCTTGAACATGCTGAAGAAGGAAGAAGAGGAGACTAAAGCTGTCCACCGGGAACATCTTTTATTACCGTTAGCAGTGCTGAACAAATGTGTGTTGGAAACACTGGTAATGTTTGCTGCCCACGCTTTTGTGCTAAAAGTTCAATTTCATCACACAAGATTTTTAGCGGAGAGAACAGGCTCTCAGTTTTGTTAAAAGCAGGAAAATGACAGCCATGTAGTTTGTTTATGACAAGGATTAACAAAAAAGAGGTTCCTGGTGGAGAAAACTGGATGAAGGGTTTTGGAAGAAGCTGCCTGTCGGTGATAAATTCTGCCTCTTGTCTCCTTCAGCTCTTTGGCATCTGCAGGGGACCAGGCTGGCCACGGTGTAGCATGATTTCGTTTGCGTCCCCGCGGATTAGCCAGCTAGCCAAGCAAAAGCAGGTCGTGTAGAAAAAGAGTGCAACTTGTGCAAACTCAAATGTCACATCCAATCAGGGAACAGCAAACAGCAGAAAACCTACAGTTTTTGTTATATGAAAACCTGGATGAATTCTTGTTTCTGATTGGCTGGAGGCTGTGAATTAAAACCTCTAATGCACTCAGATGAAGTTTATTCATTTGTGAAAGCACGCAGTGGCCATTAAATGATAACATATCTAAATCTATGGTCACATTGGGTTTGTTTAAGTCTGACAATGAGTTTTATTGTTTGTCTCCCTCTAACCTGCAGGTCCACTGTCACACTTGTTTACTTTTGGTTTACCATTTATGTGCTTGCTTATGCTGCATTCCAAGCAACTGGGAACTCTGACATTTCCGACCTCACAGCAAAACATGTTGTGCTTGTAAATGGATGTAGAAATATGTTGCTAGGTAGCTGGTTACACTAAAGAGAAGTTATTCACAAGTTATTCAGTAAAAAACATTTGACAGCATTAGTAAGCATTTACTGACTTTTGAGGATTACCACTTCAGTCACTTGTTTTCATTAAAATGGCAAAGATTTTAATTAACACCATGGACAGTGCTGAGGGTGCAACTGGGTGTACACTTAAAAAAGAGTTTGTGATGGTCAGCCATGTTTTTTGTTCACTTTCGGCGTCAGGCAGCACCGTGCACCTGGAACGCTTTGAGGTTGAAAGTCGGACATTTCCCAGTTCCGATCAGTCTGGAATGCAGCATTACCGTCATAGACAACAAAACTATGTCAGCGCTTCTTTTGATGTATGCAGAGGAAATGGAGAAAGAAAAATAATGTGCCGTCATGTCGGGCTTCAATGTCATGTTCTGCTCATGTGTTATTATAAATTATGGTTTACCTCCAGTACAAAATAGATAATTCCAGCCGACAGTGAGGTCTGTGCAGAGGCATCCAACACAAAGCAGAAAGTGGTTGCCTCCTTGTGTTTTAAATCCTCCAATGCACACCATGTCCTGGATAATCGCTTTCTTATTCCTCTCTTTAATTTATTACAGAAAGGTTGAGAAAAGGTACGGATAGGTGGGGAAAGGAAAGGTGGCTGGGTTTAAATGTTTTTAACCAGTTTACAGCTTTGGTTAGATTTGGAGACAGTCCTGTTAATGTTGGAAAGTGTTGTATGCGATTTGCTCTTTAACTTTTATTAATTTTTATTTAGGTGGAATCATCAATTGGTGATAAATCAGTTGTTCAAAAGAAATTATGCCTGTTAATGTGGAGGTAGTGAAATATTAGCTTTACTTCCTAAATGTGTTGCAGCTGAGGGGAAGCTGGGGCAGGAAAACAGCAGAAATGAAGCATCATTGTAATATTAACCAATGGGACATCAGTTAAAGAGAGAGCAGTGTGAGTTGATGCAATATGTACCTTTAGAGTGAGATGTTCAAATGGATACCACACTCATGACTCTATAGATGTGCTTAGCTTAGCTTAGCATAAAGAGTGGAAACAGCTAGCCTGGCTCTGTCCAATTAAAGTCCAGAAATACACCTCCGAACACCGCTAAAGCTCACTAACATGCTGTACCTTTGCATTTAAAGGGGGTTACTGGCTAACAGTGACTGCCAAGAAATATTTCTGGCATGTAACCCATAAAACCATGACATCTTGTTTTTCATGTCTTGGCTTGTGTACCAATTTAACAACATTATCGATTCATCTTCAGATTGTTTTTCCAATTCATTGTTTGGAAGTGTCCAAAACACTTTTCTTAAGCTCAGGGTGTTGTTATGTTTTGTGTGACAAAAAGCCTGAAATGTTAAGTTTCCTATCACATAGAAGCAGAGAAAAGCAGCAAATCCTCTCAATTAAGAAGCTGGAACCAACAAATTCATTTGTTTTCAGTTTTCAAGAATTAATTTTGTTCTTGAGAAATGATTTGAACGATTAATTAAATCGCTTGAGATACATCAAAGTTTGACTTTTTGTATCAATCTGGATCTTTATAATCTGTTTATAATCTAAACCTGTAAGACATGTGAGTAGGAGACGGAAGCTTAGACTTTTGATGCTAAATTTTAGTAAAGACGCTGCTACATTTCAATTCTAACACCTTTGACAGACATTTAAAAATAAGCAGCATCTTTGCACTATAGGCTCAAGTGGAGCCAAATATTCATTTGATCGTAATATGGTGATTTTCTTCAAAACATTAATTTACAAAATCGCTAGTTCAGCTGCTAGCATGTTGTTACGTTTGCTAGCTTTGCTAGTAAAGTTAGTTACCTGGTAATGAAGCTGTGTTTTTTATTTTTACTAGGTGACTTGTTAGATTGCTTGACGTGTGATATAATGTTACCGTTACGAGAGAGATTACCCCACGCGTTCTCATTTCTGTGCGTCATTGTCCACGCTTTCAGACACCGTGACAAAGCGTAATTATTTTTATCTAAATGTACCCTTCAGCTTCTGTATGAAACGCCACCGTTTTCTACGCAACCATAGACTGTATATAAGAAATGGACGTAGTCATGGTGATGTCACCCGTTGGTTTGTGGACTGCTGTTTTGAAGCCTCGAGTTTGGCCGATAGGGCGCCGCCATGTCGAGTTTGGAATTTGGAAGTGACGATACGGTGGAGCAAACGGCTGTGTGCGGAGCTAGCTAGCTTGCTTACTAGGTGCAACTGTAACTCACGTTAACTGTCGTTTTAACAGGCTGATAACTTTGTCTAGCGAACAACAGTCTTAAAACTAAATGTACTCATCAGAGAAAGTGAACAACCGACTCCTAATACGCTTTTCCAGCAGCGCTGGTTAACTTTACACAGCGCCGTGGGTACGAGTCGGCTCTAGCCTTATGGACAGGTCGCCATGGTAACAACTTGTCAATCATAGATAACCCCGCCCTGAAACATCCTCTGCTTTGTGGTCTATTTTAAAATAAATGGGACCATAATTTACTAAATGAACATCATTTTGTGTTGAAGAAGACTTGAAACTAGCGACTGAGACCACAAACTCATCAGGAAAGTGTTTACCGGGGTAATTATTCAGCTGAGAAGTAGGGTCATTTTCCCATTATTTCTAAAGGAGCCAGACTTCTTTTTGCATCCACAAGAGTCTGATTTTCAATAGAATGCAGGTTTCAGGACTTAAGCATTCGCTTCATATTGTAGACCAGAAGCTTCCCGCTTGTACGCAACACAAAGAAGGCTAACCCTACCTGCTAGCACATCGGCTGGTCGACATGCATAAAGTCAGTGACTTAGGTTTAGGTACTGATATTTCTGATGGTTATGGTAAGGGTAGGGGGCTTCGGGGCGCTGTCAACACCTTTAACACAAACGTAGCTAGCACTAGCACGTCTGGTCTGTACGAGACTCCCCAGTGCGTCTCATCCAGGAGCGTCTCCCACAGACGCTAAAGGGTACCTTTAGAGTCAAATAACTACGCTCTGTCAATTTTTCTGAAAGCGTCTGTATTGGCCCCCATGCGGAGGACGGCGTATTGGAGTTGTTTTCAATCGTTGTCATGGAGAAATCCTGTAAAAACTTGTGGCTTCTGTTATCGTTGGAGCCATTGTCGACTACTGATGACGTATTGGGTTCCTGAAGGGTTGTTCCATTTCTTAGTGGGAATATTTTATTTTTTGGCCCTTAAAACAGAGTTACAAGGGCCAAGGGGGACACTCGAAAACAAGTGGTAGGTGCAAGGGATAAAATGGGATTGAGCCAATGACTGTGTCAGACAGACAGGAGAAGTTGTCAGGGTACAATGGCCTGGAAGGGCCAGTCCAGGAAGAAGAATTTGATGAAATTGTTGCTTTTCTGGAGAGTCGAAACGGGTCGACATTGGGAAATAGGATAATGCCCTGCAAAAACTAAAATCTTAGTAAGATTATCTTAATTGAAGGCAAAATATACTTGTTTTTTGTCTGACAAGATATTTCTTCTTACCAGGCAGCTTTTCTGTTAGAGAATTTCACTTGTTTCAAGTTTTTTGGGCCTTAAGTAGCAAGTGAAATATTCTTGTTCTGTTGGCAGATAATTTTGCTTATTTTAAGTAATATTTCCCCCCATTTTAATGCTTTTTTCCCGCTGTTTTTGGGAGCTCAGTTTTTGCAGTGTGGTTTCTGAGTATTTTCACTTAAGCTATATCCTGCTGTTAAATGTTGCTTTTCATGTTGCAACAATTATTCACAAATTGAGCTAATTAAAGGTTCCTGAAAGAAAAAAATATTTGAAATCAGAAAAAACAAAGGACATTCATCAAGCGTTCTTATGTTCTTGACAGGTTTTGATAAAATATCCCTTGTTGAGAGGCACAATTATTGAGGTTTGATGCGTAGCCCTGATTCTCTGCTTTCCCTTAACATCCAGTGAGGGTACACTTAAAGTGGTTCGGTTGGTAAACTGGCTGCATGTTGTAACCCGATCAGCATGTAACTTGTTTCTTCAGTCATTTAGTATCTGAGCTGAATTTGTCTTCCTCCTCCAGATTTCTGTATTAATCTCCAAACGGGAAACGTTTATCTCCTCTCCTTCAAATTGTGTCTCTTTCCACAAAGGCTACAGGCGTCTTGAATTGTGTGGAGAGAAAAAGCTGTCAACCAGTGATATTGATTGATATTGATTTTTTCTTCTCACAGTCCCCAAACTTCATTTAACGGTACAAAAGATCTAGTGTCCCCTCAAGCTGTAGCAAACAGGGTGTGGGCTGTTTGTAGCAGCCTGGTTTAGATGTTATTTTGACGATATGCTAAAAAGATATGTACAGTTGTTAAAGCATGACATGTGACTTGTTTGGTGTTTCAGGTTTGTTTGTGGGTGAATATGAGTCAGTGGGCACCACCATGGTAAACTGATGTGTATGTTTCACCGCAATCATCGAGGGTTTGGACACTGTGACTGAGATGAAGACTCATTGAAGGGAAAACATGAATAATTATCGACTTGTGAAACTGAATTACTTTCATTTCTGCCTTTTGACTTTGTGTATATGTGATGTGATTCAAGATGCCAAATGTGTAAGAATGTATTTGAAATGTATATTTTTTTCCTTTTTACATCCAAAGAATCACTGCAAGCTGATGAAAACACCTGGATGCTGAAAAATAGACAACAAAATTAACACATTATCAATTATTATCAATTTCTTACGAGGCAGCTGACAATAAATCATTCTTTAGTTTTCACCCTTTATGCAGAATGAATGCAGTACAATGCATTATTGAGACACTTTCTCAATATTATTTTATGATAATAAAAAAAATCATTATACTTATGTCTTACTTTCTTGAATAATAAAAGTGCATAAGAGCCAGATTAGTTTACTGTAGGTCACATCGGCCACAGTGCCTCCACAACTTCCTAATCATTTCCTACAACGTTTCCAGGAAAGAACCATGCAATTAGCTACCAATTATGTGTTTAATTGGTACTCACCCAATTAATTAATTCTATTAAATTGCTGCCATACTCTCTTTCCTTCTGAGTCTTTTAATCTGTGCACAGCAGGTCAGCCTAACATGTACAAAAATGTCTAATTTCACAGCTGTTTCCAGGAATCTTCCTAGAAAATATGAATTACTGTGAAATATGTGTGCAGAAGAAGTTCATTGCAGTACAATGCTGAGCTTGTACAACTGGTGCATGTTTGTCTTTCTGTCTGTACATTTTCAGTCTGTACATTGGTTTCTCTATCTGTAAAAATAATTTGAGCTGCAGTGAATGTACTGTACGAACTGTCACGTCAAGTCATTTCAGTCAGGAACACAGTGACAAAGACGTGTTTTTGGAAAGCAATTATCAGTTTTCAGGATGGACACAACAGCATGTTGGAAGAGGAAGGAGTAAATAAACAGCCTGGTGTCTTTGCAGAAGAGATGACACGTGTCACGCGTCTTTCTACAAGATGTCTCCTTGTTTTAAAGCCAATCTTAAAGCAGAAAGGTACTTTGTCACTCATATGGTTATTTGTAACTTAGAAAAAATAGAAAAAACAATGATTTCTGAGTTTTTGCACAATAGCAATAATATTGCAGTGTTAATTTATGTGATCACTTTTCCAACATGATGGAAAATCATGTTTGTCTGAACATGTTTATCACTAAACATGTTCAGACAAGCTCCAGTGTGGCTTTGATTTATCCAGTGACACCTGCCCCCCAAAAGAACTCAAATACATCAGCAGCACATGTATTTTGTGAGTCGCTTATGTTCACACAAACTTTCACCCTGGCTGTTCAATCGTGTCTTTGTTAAAGTTTCAAAACAGCCCTTTTTTTTCCTCCAAATTTTATATTTATCCTGAGCTCAGAGATAATGCTGAAGCTAGGTCACTGGTAACATCAACTGTACGCTTCTGCATGTAAAGGGATTTGGCCTTTTTTAGATTTAAATCTTGTGGCAATTTGGCAAAATAAAGAAAAAAGAAAACTAGGCTAAATAACATGACGCCTTTCACAATGTGTGCATGTTTCTATCGCGGTTAGCTACACTGATGAGGTTGTTTTTCCTAACAGCTGATGCATGTCTAAGAGCAGTTAGATTACGTGTGAGCTATTAGTTCACTAAAGCTGCGTTATGGAAAAACTAATGGCTGTTTTGGACTTTAACTGTTGCTGTGATTGGAACGGCTTGTCAAAATCAACACATCTAAAGCCTCTTTGGAGTGACAGTGAAACCTGCAGGGATAGTAATATGCACATGTTTACAAGACAAAGGTTTTCTATTGTACAGTCAGTTATATTGGCAGCTTGTTATTGACACCGTGATTGTCAGTGAGACAAGGCCCGCTCACATGTTCCCGCTGTATTTGTGAGGACCATTGACATAAAGCAGTCTCTAATCATAACCATCAAAACTGCATGCCAAACCCCAATCCTTATTCTAAGTCAGATTTATAACAGGCAGAGGCAGTGGACTGCGCTACAATCTAATGTCTGTAAACCCTAAATAATAGTCTGTTAATTCATCATAAATGGAGAAAATAAACATTTAAAAAAGAAGCAATAGGCCTCTGCTTCATAAAATCTGTTCTCTTTCACACACAGAAGCAGTATGTTTAGGTTGTTTTTTTTCCGAGGTCTGTTTGATAGTCGAGTTTTTTGGGACTGAATGATTCAGCAGTCCTCCAACCTATAAGACCAAATAGGTCGTTTGTCAATTCCTCCCAAAACGACACATATGAACCTTTCCCGTACCAGACCCTAACTATGGAAGTCCTGTGACATAAGTCAATGGTGTGAAATACTGCACTTTAGTCAGGTTTAGGTAATAAAACTACTTGGTTAGGTTTAGGAAAACACTGTGGTTTGGGTTAAAGAAACTCATGATGTAAATCCCTCATGCTATTTAGCTTAAAGCTCTAAATAACTAAACATTTACTTGGTTTCACACAGGAATCAAACATCAGCGTCCTGTGAGAAAGTCCTGGGTTTGAGCCATCCATCCTCTTCCTTATGCAGACTTTTCACTTTTTATACAATGTCACCAAACTTCCTCCTTTGCTACCGTCGTCCGGATATACAATAAATGTAAATGTGTGTCATAATAAGCTGCTTGAACAAAAAACGTATATGTTTTTCTGGTGAGGACAGGCTGAAAATAATCTCAACATTTATACAGCTCTCCTGCAGCTGTTGGAGGCGGTGACTGCTGACACAAATATCTGCTTTACTGAAAATGCATTAATTTCCACTCTGCCACTGAAGTACTGTGGCATCACTAGAGAGCCTCATTTATAATATCCATTTAAGAAATTATATATGTTTTATTAAATAAGTCGGCATGTGCTTCATCTGCTTTTCAAATATGAACCTGAAAATAAATGTCCAAAATAATTTTCCTTCCACATCCCCAATTAAATAAAGATAGCTTCTTATGCCAAACTGCATTTAGAAGAAGTGAGAATGTACA